AAATAAATGTGAAACTAACTTAGAATTAAAATAATATGTTCATTCAAAATTTCATGCATTTATATTTTTGTTCTATAGATTTAAACTTACGTATTTCTACATTCCATGCAAAGAGATTGAAGAGGAGCCTCTGGAATTTGATATATTAACTTTCAGTGAAATTCGTCATCAGGCAACGAGCACGTGAACCCATGAAAAGCTTTTCTCCTTCCAGATATCAGCGCAACAGTGGACATCCTGAACTTCCGATGGTTTTCATATGTACATCGGAAATGTTACCTATCCATTTTTACTACCGCCATGAAAGCATGAAGCAGAAGAGATTTATTAGCTGTATGTTACATTAAAAAAAAAAAAAAAAAAAAGATTCAGATGGCAGAATTATACAACATTGTGATAATAATTTGTCCACTCAAATGGGAACATTCGTTCTAGTTGCTAAGCACTTCTATAACAATATTAGTAAACTTTAGTTGTAAACCCCTCTATCCCTTATCCCTTAGCCCTTACCCCTTATCCCGTAACCCTTATCTTTCCCCCTCCACATAAAGAGTCGATATATGGATTCTTTTGGCATCTGTTCGTGCTTTGTTTCATTTACAGTCTCCTCCTATGTCGTACCTCACAAATCCCATCAGCTCCGGTCCTTCCAGTCTCAGGTTATTCATGAAACTGTACCAAACACAACCAGCAAACAAAACAAAATGAAAAACCAACTTAAACGCTTTCTTGTTGCATAGAGTCTTTTTTACTCAGCCTCTCACCTTTCTTCTGTAAACTTAGACAGAGCACCCGAGGTGGGAATTGTGCCACACAAATCGTTGTTCGACACATCACTGTACATACCCAGATATTCACATTAAAAAATATGAAGAAAAATAAAATATTACAATGACAAAATCTATATTATTAGTTATAAGTACCAACTTAGAGGTTAAAAAGAATTTTTAAGTACTAATTTTTTACTTCAAATTATAACCCAACACTTTCGACACTAGGGCTTATTTGGTGTTAGTTCCAGTTTATTGTAACCCCATCCAAAATATAATTATAGAAGGAGGAAGGATGGTTTAATATAGGGAAATCGTACTTACAGGATCTTGAGATTCTCAAGTTTGGTAAGTTCTCTTGGTATTCTTCCTGTCAGCTTGTTACCATTCAGCCTTCTGCATACAAAGTAAAGTGAGCAACCAAGTAAAACAAACTTGTCAACTTCAATTTGCTTCCTCACGTAAGATGACATAATTGACAGAGTGGTTTTGCAGAATCCAAAATGCTTAAAACAAAATGCTCACAGGAATTTTAGGTTGGAGAGTCTGGCGAGTGACGAAGGTATAGGGCCAGTTAGGTTATTATGATAAAGATCCAAGCTCACAAGACTTTTCAGTCCTCCAAGTTCCTCTGGTATGCCACCCACCAAGTTGTTCATGTAGAGTTCCCTGCAATCACAGTAAACACTGACTAGTTAAATGTTTATGTCTTATCCCACGAAAAAGATAAAAACAAATGCTTATGTCTCATCAAATCATACACATCTTTTACACCAAGACCAACGTACTCCACAATGTCATGGCTTGACTGGTAAGGTAGATGCCCACTGAATTTTAATGACTGCATGTAGTATATGGTAATTTCAAATTTTGTTGACGAGCGATGCTGGTATTCCCTATGCAATTTACAGTGCTGCTACCTTTTTCTTTGTACTACTTATTTTAGGACAAGAAAGATTATTTCCTCAATCATCTATCTCCTTCAAATTATAAAAAACCTTGTAGTTATTCCCTTTGTTAGTCAATGCTTATATTAAGGAATGAAATATCAAAGAATGAAATTTTACAGTGAACAAATAGTGAAATATCTATAGTAGTTTATATACTTATTAAACAATTTCTCCAAACATTATATATCTTGAGTTAAAGTCTAACATATATGAAAGTCAATTTTATAAACAAACTGTTCTTGACCGTGCCAATTGAACCATTGACTAATACTTGACTTTTTCCCTGCCCATCTATTATATATAATCACTGCTTAGTTCAATGATTGGTAGGTACTTTCTTTTACAAGAACTTGGGAATTCATATTGGACTATATTCTTGTTTTGATGTACTTTCCTTATGTTACTATTGATGTATATATAATATCAAATGTAAAAATTTATTAAAAAATAAAAAATATCTTCAATGCTATTTTAAAAAATCTCATTTATTCTCCTTATTTATACTTGTATTATTACTACTTTTATAATCCAGATATGCTGTTTATTTTTTTAACTTAATGTTATTGAGCTAATTGATAAAACTTAGTAAAGAAACATAAAATTTAATTTTATTTATTAAGTTCTATTTAGATCTTTATAATTTATAAAAATTAATGTCAAACAATAAATTTAATTAAAAAAAATTAACGTTCTTATGTTCATAAACGGTCTAAATTTGTTTTTGCTTGCTATTATAGCATAAAAAATATACCATATGAGTTACTTCATGTCAATAGTAGATACAGATATACATATGCATACATTTATGTTCATATTATTTTTAATAGTACCATAAGTAATTCAAAAATGATTGATTTTTTTTTTTTTTTAATTTTTGAAAAGTGGAAATTTTGTTTTTCAAATATACATGTTCCAAGGAGTCTCTACCCTTATCTTAAGTATTAGAAGAAGGAAAATGGCAATAAATTAATTTAAATAAATCAAAACTTACATATACTGAAGACGCTCAAGCTTCCCCAACTCGGGAACCAAACTGCCCGACAGATTTGCGTTTCCAAGGTCTCTGTACGTATAAACCTCAGTAATTATCAATTCCTTCAATAAAATAGCTGTTAATTTCCCCAAAATAAAAACAAAAAATAATCAAGATTTTCCCAATTTCAATTTCGAAAACATAATTCGTCTGGTTATTTATTACTTGATGTTCAAAGAGAAAGTTGAGCGAAAGAAAAGGTTAAACGAACATTTCGAAGATCAAGGAGAAACAAATTCCTCATTCCCCTTCACCTTATAATTTCTATGGAATTAATTCAAAAATCCGCTCATTTCAATTCAAAATATTGAAAATTTGATCTGAAATAAGAAAAATTAAATTTGAGCTCAGGAAATAAGTAAAAAAATTGAAACAGTGCGCTCAAACTCCATCCATCATTCCAAACTAGCTAACTCTTTCTAGGACGAATATTCACTTAAAGAGTGAAGTTAGAATTCGATATTGCAAATTTAAAAAATGGAAAACAGAGATTGTTCCCAATATAGAAGCAAGCATCATTTCGGTTTGTTGTATTCGGATCGAAGGATTCGAGAGATGCAAAGCGCACAACAGTGGAGGAATTAAAAAAGTTGCAATTAATTTTTTGCTGGAAAGAAAGCGCATAATGAAGCCGACACCCGCGAATTCGTTTATTGTTGTTCGGGTCAAGTAAAATAAAATTTTAAGAGCGAGAGTGGATTTCGTTTTACAGAAAATGGATTTTCATCAAACAAGAAACAAGAGGGATTCCAAGGAAAAGGATCCGGATCCAGAAAGGAAGAGGAGGAAGACTTACAATCTAGTAACGCGATTATCATTGTCGCATGTAACGTGAAACCAAGTGCAAGGATCCACCAAGGTCGGATCCCAGCTCACCAGCACATTCTCCGGGTCCTTCATGGCTCTTCTCAGTGCATACAAAGCAGCTCCTGTTCATTCGCCGCCAGTCACAAAAACAACGGTTATACGAAACGAAAAGTAGATTGAATAGGACATGAATCAAAATCTGTACCTTCGGTATTAGCATATGAAGGAGGTAATAAATCAGTTGAAAGAAGAAGAGCGAGAAGAAGAAGAAGAAGAAGAGGAGGAGGATGGATCATGTTGATTACTAACCCAAGCCCTCGAGAAGGATGGATCATGTCGATTATAGAGCCCTTGAGGGAGAAGAAGGAAGGTGTGGTGAAGGAATCAAATTTTTTGGTGCGGGAATTTATAGAGCCCATAAACGCAATATATATATATATATATATTATAAAAGCATGAGGGGGGAGGGGGGAGGGGGCAGGTGGAGTGAATGGTTTAGTTGTTTTCAATGGAAGAAGTGAATTTCCAAATATACCCTCGTTCATTTATTTTATTTTATTTTTACTGTCTTCCATTTTCTTATTGTGGTCCATGCCAATATTATTCCCTTCATCCACTGCACGATGACAAACACCAATACCAAGGATTTTTTTTTTTTTTTTTTTTTTCTTTTATAATTTTAAGCATATTCTGTAAAAATAATAATTAAAAGTATAAAATAATAAATTTTTACGATAAATATTAGAATCTAAGTTTTAATTAATTAATTAATTAATTATATATATATATAAGGTGACAAAAATTCATATTGTTTTGACCCACTAATTAAGATATATATATTTTCATTAGTATGGGATCAAATTAGCATCAATTTACATAATGTAAATAATGTTAACCATTCATCCGAGTATTAAATAATTAAATTTAAGCAATATTTTAACATTAATTTGAATTCTGATCTAACCTAGCCGAACTTCATCTTTAATCAGATAGACACATTTTAAATTTAATTAATCATTTTAATTAGACTTTAAGATTACACCAAACACAACACACACAGCTCTTAATCTCTCAGCCTAGAAGAAAAATCCATAGGAAAAAAAATATGAGACATTATAAATCAGTGATATTTTTCATAATAAATGTTAGATTAAATCCATCACTCATGGTGAGAGTAATGAATCTTTAACCATAACTTATATAAAATGTACAGTACAGTAATGTTAGAAGATGGAAAATAAATAAATATAAATAAATAAAGATGTTCAATGAAATGACAATGCTTTTATCACGATAATAAAACAAAAGGTGTGTTTTGAGTAGTGAAATTTTATTTTTATTTTTTAAAATTAAAAAATAAAAAAGTCAAAAAGTCGTTTTCAGTTTTGAATAAATTGAAATTGAAATTGACCAACGATAATCCTAACGATGCTTTTGATTTTAATTTTAAAGAAAAGGTTTCAAGTATGAATAGGAACCCCACTTTTAGTTGTAATTATTGGTGGGTCGGTCCATCCCCCAAGTCGTCAACATCTTGAAAGAATTCCAAATGCAGAGGGTAGCATCTTGAATATTTTATTAAACTAATAATTAATAATTTGATAATTACTCAAACTTTTCAATTTTAAATTTACATATTTTCAACACATCACAATTATGAATGGCTCGAATAAAAAGTTATAAAAGGCATTTCAGATTTAAAGAATTTTTTTAAAATATGTTGGTTCTTTGACAACCCCCCCCCCCCCCCCCCTCTCTTTTATAATTTTCATCTCACATTTCTCATGCTTTAATTCAATTCATAACCAAAAACTCTACTCGTGATGTAAAACCGTTTAAATGTTGGTTTCTTCACAACCCGTATATAATTATTTTAAACACGCCTAGATCATCCTTCTCTCCTTCAAGCTTTCTCTACCGCACCGAAAAATAATAAGGTTTAGGGAAGGCAAGAGAAAGAGCCTACTAGTAAAATCTAAATTAATCACCGGAAGAAATATTTACAACACAAGAAACAATCTCCCCGAGAAAATGACAAACTACCTTAATCATTGGGAGCAGCTTCACTAGCCTTCACAAATCGACCCTTCACTCGTTTCCTGGTCTCAGCCCTCGCCTTCCTCGACTCATATCGGATGTGTTTATCATATCTGTTCACACCACCATTTCATAAAAACGTAATAAGTAACATTATTTTACGAAAGACCAAGCTTGCAGATACATTGATAGTAAACTGAAGACCTTCGTGTTTTCTTCTTCTCCTTGTATCGTTGCATTGCGTTGCCTCTGTTTTGTGCAAGCAACTCTAGATCAGCCATGGTTGCTGAAACTCTAGTTCCGTTACCTTTCACAAAACTAGATCCTTCTGCAAAGTGGATTTCTTTAGAGCAACTAGGGGTTTTATTTTTACCAATAGCTGAACCATTTGCCACTGGAAGGTTATTGCTCTCAGATGTTGCTGGCCCCTGACTGGTAGTTTGCTGAGTTGTCTTATTCTGCATGCCCAAACTAAACTGATCAATCATTCAGTAAGCCCTCTGGTATCAAGGCTTATGAAGAAAAGGCCAAACATACTCCACATGTTACGGTTTATATAAAACATATTAATTAACTATTTCAGTTACAGACTAAAACACAGTCCCAAAGTATGAGAACATTCAGATACAAGTTTACCACATCATCTTGTAGCTCAAAATGTTATTTTGTTTCTACAATCAATGAATGGTTTGGATCCAGCAGCTCCTGCATCTAAATAGTAGACTACATCTCTTTCAACACATCTAGATCAGGAAGTGATTTCACATTACTGAAAACTTGAATCAACAAAGTAAAACAGAAGCAATCCTTGAACTTCCCTCAACCCCAACAACCCTTCCCCACCCCCACAAAAAAAAAAAAAAAAAAGGCACAGGCAGAAATAAATGATAAATAGATGCATCTGTCACGAAGTAAACATTACACTTAAAAAAAGAAATGTATCACATCAAATAAATGAGATAAATAAGCACTAAAACTATCTTCACTCAGTGTTACCATAAACCTTTTCATTTCAGATGAAATTTTCTTTAATACATAATAATGATAATTATAACTAACCAATAATGACAACTTACACTAAATGATGCCATGTCTTCATGTGTGATAGAGCAGTTCATCTGGTAGATATCTCCCAACATTTTTGCACTTGTTAAAGACGTTTGTGTCAAAAGTTCACTGAAGTTCTTGATCATAAATCCTGCATCAGTTGTTCCATATGCATCTTCTAATTGGTTAGAATTGTGATCTCTTGATTGCCCCAAATGGAAATCCCATATCTGCAGGAGGAAGTTTTAATTACCAAAGCTACATTACATCAATTGTCTGAAGCATTTTAGCATTAGATAGATAAACACAGCCATAAAATGCATTGTTTATCATTTTGAAATTCTTGATTTATGCTTTGAATAGCAAAGCTAACTGAAATCCAAATTAAAGACAGTAGTCACCTACAAGGTTAAAAGGCCTTGATAAACGAAATACTGTTAACCTTGGAGAAATTACAACATGTGATCATGTATCCCTAATCTACACTTCCTATTTTCAGATACTACACTTCAAACTAGGCTTTCTGCACTACTAGATAGATATTTTCTTTATTCTTTTTGGGTGTATTTCTAGGTCCCTAGGGAGGTAGTAAACTGGGTGAGAACCCAGGATCGGTATGTCAACCGTTTACAAGGACTAGGTGAAGTTACCACTGAAGCAATTTCTCATGGTTGTTCCAAAGATAATTTAGAAAATAGGAAATGAAAATGTCGTGAGATTGCAGAGAAATCATGTATACCTTCCAGGAATTATAAAGGAAAAATAGCACTGAGAAAAAAAGTTTAGTTCATCAATAGGGGATGGGAAAACTTTGTCAACTTCCACATTCACACGATAAAATCCATTAAAAGATTCTATAGTCAATCACTCAGTTTAGCGGCAGTCACTTTTCTTCACACACAATACCAGACACTCGTTAAGATAGAGATTGGTGTTTTGCATTCTTTCATCATCAAAGGAATGACTTTATTCGCAAAATTCATTCAATTCAAAGCATTATTAGACAATTTTCTTAAAGAAAATTCCTAAAGCAGTCAAGAGCAGTTCAAAAAGAAAAAACTACCTGAGTGTTCTGTCCGCTAACATTAGTATTCCACACCATATCCCCGCCGACAAGAAGTTCATCCTCCCTCAAACCAACCTGCGTCGGTAATGTAATCAAGGGCATAATCGGCGTTGTCTGATGCTCCATTGATTGTTGCTGTTGACCGCCAACACCGGCATCACCACCTGCATTTTCCACACCAATGTCCTCCGCGTTCGTCGCCCAATTACTCCTCTTAGGGGTGGATGGCACCGTACTTTCTCCTCCTCCTCCACCACCACCATCATCAGCACCGCCACCTCCGTCATGGCCCATCAATTCCCTCTTTAGCAGCTCCATCAGCTGCTTGTGTATCACCTGCTTATGTTTCCCACAATTCGGGCTCTGTTTCTTCGACACTGTATACTCCACCAATCCAGATTTCACACCCTGACAAACCATGCCCCTCTCATTAGGCACCACCAACTCTTGAAAACTCAGTCCATCTCCTCCACCGTCAGATTTGTATCCCCACCAGTCGATCGGCATAACCGAATCCTGGCACCCAGTCCAGTTGTCAATCAACGGGGGCAATTCATGGGGTTTCTTGCTTCCGAGATCGAGCCCCCAGAGAGACGCGAGCTCAAGTGCGGAAGGACAGCCCGAGAAACCTTGAATTTGGGTGCGATGATGCGTAGCCGAGACAGAGCAGGTACCATGTGCGTCCCAGTCGCACTCTTGACAGAGAACTAAGTTGTCGGTGGCACACCGTACGGAAACCGGCTCGGTGCCGCAGTTATCGCAGATCTGCGAACGAAGGTGTTTGCGCGAGAGCAGGTTGGCGGAGTGCACATGTTGGTCGCAGAACAAGCAGAGCTTGGCGGAATCAGCTCGACAGTAGAGCACCGGAGAGTGTTGATTGCAGTAATCACAAGGCACGGTCCGTTTGACATCAGATTTAAGCCACGACATTTTTTTTTCCCCAGAAACCCTAAAATTGCGAAGAAGAAACAATAGAGAGAGGAGATATTTTTTGAGCTTTTACTGTTAAAATGATTTTATGGAGTAATGAGCAGATGGATGTAAGTAAGTAAAGAGGTAACAGAAGAGAGGAGAGGTTAGAGAATCACTTCATTTAAAACGTGTTTTTTTTTTTTGTGTTAAAGAAAATGGAGCTCCATTTTACTACAATTAATAGCCTAATAAATATATGTATAATATATATAATAATTTAAAACAATAACTGGTTTGTTGTGGAGAAGTAGTATACCATCACATCACAACTCACGGGTAAGATGACACGTGTTAGGCAATAATACCTTTTTTTTTTTTTTTTTTCCTATTTTTATAACTCTTCAATATTCACAATTCTATCTCATTGTTTTATAATAGAAAAATAAATAAATAAATTCTAATTTTGTACAAAAATGTTAAATAATATTTAGTCCAAACCTGTTTCCTTTTGTTTATTGGGCCCAAGCCCATATATATAATAAGATAAAATAATTACATCCAACAGAGTTATTTATTTAAACATTTAAATTAACTGTAAGTACATATAATAATTTATTACAAACTCTAATATTATACGCACAATAAATTTTTTATTCGTTACACATTATTTATCAAAAAGTAAGTTATTACAATCTTTTACTTTTATAAAACTTGTGTGCATCTAAATTAAGATTGATACTACTTTTTTTATACATATATAATTGTATAATATTATATAAATTCTCAAATCATTTATTAATTTTGCACACCTCATTTATCATGAGATCTTTCACGAAATAATAATAATAATAAGACATGATTTTTTTTTTTTGTGTTTTTATTAACATTTATAAATTATTTTTTTTAATCTAAATAAATATCATATCTAATAATTTAAACAAGCGTGGTATGCATCTAAGCAGTGTTATTAATTAAAATTAAAATTTATATATTTTTATATTTACTTACATGTTTAAATACATAATTTACCACCTATATACTATTTTATTTAATTCAAATTTGCAACTATAGATTCTTTTATTCAATTAGAATTTGAACTTGAAATTTCATCCAAATAAACCTCATTTAATATAAGTACTAACTTTCTTTCTTTAGTTAACTATTGCGTAAGATTAATAAATAAAAAAAGAAATACATAAAAATATGTAACATGCCATATTATAGCACCATATAAACATGTCAACAATCTTTAGTAGCTCTTAGCTTCATTCATCTCTTCCCCCAATAACCAAATCCTCAACACTAACTCCTCTCCTAAGTCGAATCCTCCACCTCTTTCATTTTCTCCATTATCTCAGTTTGTCACTATATTTGTTCTTAAGACCAAGATATCATTAGTTAGCACTCTCTCTTTGTTATTATATCGACTAACATAGAGACATTTTTTTAAAAAATATTTTTATCTTAAATTTGATCTAAATTGTATCAAATCGTTAAATTAAATGAATGATAAACACGTCGAACACAATAAAAATTATTTTTATTCAGTTCAAAACGATAATTACTCTTAAATTAAATTTAACTTATTTTAAGATATTAAGAATAATTATATTGATTAATAAAAGAGAGATAGACATGTCGATAAGCAACCACGTGGAAAAGAAGCAGAGGGTCTGGCTTTAGGAGAGGAGCCGAGCATCGAGGATCTAGTTGTTGGGGCAAGAGATTAGCTACGAGCTCATAGAGAAAAGAGAATAGATTATTGACGTGTTTATAAGTTAATAAAAATGGCATATTGACTAACAAAAATTTGTATTATTTATGCTAAATGAGGGGTTTATTTGAATAAATTTTGAAAACTTAAGATTTTATTTGAAGAAGAAAAAAAAAAATTATACGAGAATGAAATACCCTACGTATTTGTTTCCTCAATGCCTACACTGACTCTGTAGGATACGGGACCATCCCCTACCTAATATCTCTGAAACCACCCATTTATACGTATGCCCACATATAGATATACATAAATATATACATACATAACATATATGCACAAAAACAAAAAAAAAACACAGTAGAGAAAATATACAGGTGTGTGGTGGCGCGTATGTATGAGAATCGAATCTTTTATAGAACTGGAAGCGAGCGACTGCCCTCGTGTCATACCTTTTTGCATGCACACTTTTCTGAGTATTGTAGTTCGAGCTCCTCCATATTCACATTTTTATTCTTTTGGAACTACTCGTAAACCAATAATTATATATTTATATGTATATATATATATATATATACCCTTTTCACCTTTTAAACAGTGTGTATTTGTGTGTGTGTGTGTGTATGTATATATATATATATATATGAGATAAAAGTAAGTAGAATGTTGATTCCCAAGTTGTGCTTTTCTTTTCTTTTTTTTTTTTTTTTTTTTTTTATGTATGTTAATATTTGAAAAACTTGTATGTCATCGGAGTATAAATTAATATTCCAATTTAGAAGAAAACTAATTGTTAATCTATTTCATATTTATTTTTATTCTAAAAATATACCCTTTTTATTTTTATTAACTATTAAAATTTTTACAAGTTAAATATATATTGAATTTTGCAAATGAGATTAATTAACATAAAATGAATTTTTGTATCTTTCACCAAGTATATATTAATGATAGAATAATAAATTAAGGAAAATATATTTTTCAATTTTTTATTTTGAAATGTTTTATAAATTAAAGAAAAGTAAGTTTAGATTGTAAAGATAATAAAACATCATAAATAGAGGGACAGTACGGAAATATAAAATATATGTATTTTTTTAATAATAAAAAAGAGTTTTTAAAAATTATCAATCATTGGTTAAGGGGGTAGTAATTATAAGATTTTCTAACGTTGAGAATATGGAAATTAAATTATATATATATATATATATATTAAAGTAGAAAAGAGTGTAAAGTAGGCAAAAATTACAGTGTGGTTAATGTAATCTACCTATATATATATATGTGTGTGTGTGTGTATACGGATAACAATAATTTATATATATATTATTACCAAATGTAGGTAAATAGTGAGAGTTAAATGGTATAGTTGGTGACCACACACCAAACATGTCCTTGCCAGAGCTAAAGCACTGAAAAGGCTGCTAAAAATATTCCCGCTGCTCTTGCTCTTATTCCACTACATACATACATACATATATGTTACCATTATTTATTCCCATCACGTATACATATATATAATATATAATGGAATTCCTTGACTTTTTAATTCCCCATTTTTCAGTTATACATACTCCCTTCTCTCAACTATATACATACATATATATATATATGCTTTTTGAATATCAAAGCCAGAAGAACCATGCAAAGTAAATATTCTTCACCCATATGCTCTTTCTTTTTTTTTTTTTTTAACTTGAGTTGTAGGATACATTTTAATAATTAGTTTGGGTTGTTTCTTTTAGCTTTTCCCGCCACCTTTTGGTTAGTTTTTGTAATAACCGAACTCAAAATTTAATTCAGAATTAATTTTAACATTCTAAAATATATAAAAAAATTTATTTTTGAAATTAATAAATTTTAATTTAATGTGAAATTATAAAAAAAAATAGGTTATTGATGAAATTAAAAATAATTTTGAAAAAAAGTGATAAAAATTTAGATTCGAATAGTATTTTTGAAATAAAAATCGAAAACTGAATGTCAAAATGCAAATAAGAAAAATTTGGCCACAGTCAGCAATCTCAACGAATCAGAGCACGCCGCGTGGTAAGACATGTTGATTTGGTGCCACCCAGGAGGTTACGCTGACGATCCGCGTGCCTCACGATCGGACGACCCATAAGCGATCCCGCACGCGTGGACGGTCTAGATCTATTTTCTCCTTAGGCGCGATCGAATAATCAAGATCAAACGTGATGAATAGTCCAAATACATTTTCTCCTGAACGGTCGAAAATCAAACGCGATGAACGGTCGAGATTAATGCGAAATGGGTATAAATATTTTGCATCACATTGAACCCGAACCCTAAACACCAGCCTCCAACCAAACCAGTCGCCGGAGAAGGAAACCGACCGCCGACCACCACCGCACCGGACCCACCTCTGATCACCAAAAAATGTAAAAATTCTCTTACCTACTCGGAATTCGATTCCGAGCACTCCTGTGGCCATATCGGAGCAAAACAAATGGTAAGTGAGCTGAAAATCGTGGGCAAAACTCGCAACCTTCTCCAATGAGCCCCTTTCCAGTTTTCATTTCGTGCAAATTTTTCACCGTTCTGTTTTCTACAGTTGATTGAAGGAAAATCTCAGCCGCGAAGGTGAGTTGGCGAA